AAGTGAACTCAAGGCCAGCCTGAGCTGCATAGTGAGACCCTGTCTCAAAAAGACCAAAAAATAAATAAATAAAAAAAATAAAAAAATAAGGGGCTTCAGGGTAAAAAAAAAAAAAGTCTGTGGCTACCTACTCAGGCTCACCTTTCTTATTTAATCCCCCCCACCCCATATGAGGGTCCTGCTATGTGGCCCTGGCTGGCTTTGAACTTGTGGCGATCCTCCTGCCTCAGCCTCTGAGTGCTGGGATTACAGGCGTGCAACACCACGGCCGGCTCCACCCTGGCCGCCTGAACCCTGGCTCTTCCTCACACCAAGGCCATCTGCAGACAGCTCACCCGGACTCATGCTGAGCCTCTTCTCCCTTCCTGGCTTCACCTTCCCCGGGGCTTCCCATTCCTTGGTTACCTCACGGACCGTCCTCTCCCTACTCTATGGAGCAGCTCCCCAGAGGGTGCGGCTGCTTGGTCTTTTGCTCCCCGCTGTGCTCTCAGTGCCTGGTGCAGCGACAACACAGAGGAGGCACTCGAGACGTTGCTGTCACCTGTGCTTTGCTCTCTGCTCCCCGTCCCCTGGCTTTTATGCATGGGTGGGTGGGCAAAGCCATAGCAAAGAGCAGCCAGGAAGGAAAGGGGTGAGCAATGCAGCACCGGGTAAGGAGGAGGGTGTTAGACAATACACAAAATGATGTGTGTGGCGGGATGACAACGAGCAACGTGGAGGCTCAGAGATTTCTGACTAAATAACAGGTCTCGCAGAAGGGAAGATCTGTGCCAAGAAGGAAAAAACTAAAAAAACAGAAGATAAGCAAGCAAGCAAACAAATCAGAGAAGGAAAACTGGAAGGATCAGGAAGCCTAACCTGAACACGCAGGCGATGCCCGGCTGCAGCTCCTGCCCTAGGCCTTGCACGTCTCTCCCCACGGTGCCATCTGCTGTCGGCCAAGGGAGTGGGCAGCGAACCTGGGACGAGGAGGATGAGACCAGGAGGGGAAGGGCAGGAGGAGGGGCGGGCCAAGCAAAAGACCAAGTGGTGGGACAGAGGAGTCCAGGTGCAAGCCACTAGGCAAGGGACAGGATGGAAGGCAGGGCCAGGAGAACCTCAGCAGATGTGGAGAGAGGAGACCAGGAGGGACAGCAGGAAGGTGGCGACTGAGGGAGAAGAGATGGGTAGAAGCAGGAGGCAAGACACTTCGGTTCCTGCCATGTGTCTGAGCTCTTGGAATTCTGTGACTTTTAAAATTTACATTTGTGATAGCCGGGCATGGTGGCACTCACCTGTAATCTCAGCACTCAGGAGGCTGAGGCAGGAGGATCGTTGCAAGTTCGAGACCAGCCTGAGTTACATAGTGAGCTCAAGGCCAGCCTGAACTACATAGCGAGACCCTGTCTCAAAAAACTAATAACATTTGTGCTTTTACTGTTCTGGTATGCCCTGTCCCAAAGACTTTTCATATATATACACATTCAAACCTCGGACTGTGAGTAACTTGATCTGTGAGTGTTTTGTAAGACCAAACATTTTTTTTAGACCAAACATTTCTAAGAAATTTTAACTTGATAAACGAGCGCTGTCTTCCAATATTAGTATGTCACACTGAAAGTCACACAATTGCAACTGATTTTCTCTCTGGCTGCTTTTATACACAAGTGCTTTGTATTATGAGCTGGAAAAATTATTCTCACGAACCAAGATGCACAGGTGTGTATAATGTGTATAAATGAATTTGGAAGAATTATTCAATAATTTATAAATTTTAATAAATTAGTCATGTTTAGAAGTATATTAAGGAATCTTCCCGTTGCATTTGGTAACAAAAAAGAAAAAAACAGAAAAAGTCACTGTCTGAAATTGAATCTATCAAAACTAATAGACTGGGTGTGGTGGCACATGCCTGTAAACCCAGCACTAGAGAGGCTGAAGCAGGAGGATTGCCATGAGTTAGGGCCAGCCTGGGCTACATAGTGAGTTCAAGGTCAGTCTGAACTACATTGCAAGACCCCATCTCCAAACAAACACAAAACAAAGCAAAAACCCAGAATGAAACATAAAAATCAACCCAATAAGCGGGGCATGGTGGCACATGCCTGTAATCCCAGCACTTGGGAGGCTGAGGCAGGAGGATCATTGTGAGTTGAGACCAGCCTGGGCTACAAAGTGAGGTAAGGCCAGCCTGAACTGCATAGCAAGACCCTGTCTCAAAAAGACAAAAACAAACAAAAAACAAAAAAAACCCCAACCCAAAAAACAACTGTTAGCCCTCTGCCAAATAATTCAGATTAAGAGGCAATCTACAAGTGCAGCTAAAGAGCTAGGAGACTTGGAGAGAGGCTCAAAAGGTGATCAGTTAGGATGTGTCCTCAGAACTACAATTCACTTGACATAAAAAAAATGGTAAGTTCAGCCGATCATTTAACACACGCAGCCTGGGAGGAGCCGCGCATAGGCCAAAAGGAGGCCGAGAAGCACGCGTTTTTATAGGCACAGCTGGCTGGCCCGAAGGACATGCTTATCTGACTTGAAAGCTCCAATCCTGATTTTCTAGACATTCTTGACTTGGAGAACAGAAACTATACTGTTAACAGAAGCTGAGTGGAAATATTCTTTAAACAGGGCTACCCTGCTTTGTTCTAAGGCTCCTCACTAAGGTAACTGTGACGGTAACTGTACGTAAGGTCACTTTTAAAGGAACGCCCCCACCCATAAAGCTTCCGAGCTACGAACCGTGTGGGTGACTCCGGCCAGAGGCAGATATCCCGCTGTTAACGGGCAAACGGGCGAGTTTGTGCATGGATCCTTCGGTCACTTGAGTTTTCGGAAACTGTCTTGGGCCTCCTAGGTATGGCTACGCCAGCTAGCAGGGATAAAGTCCCGTGTAAAATTTCCCACCTAGTCCCGCAAAGCTGAGGACCAATCAAGGAACTCTGAACTAGCCTTGTTAAAATGTGCCTAGCAGGAGGGCTTATCTAAAGCAGCCAGCCAGTTGCTCCTTTTTGTCATTTTTTAGCTGCAATTTAAATGCAGGGGCCAGAAGAAAAATACAAATAAAGTGAAGACCGTAGTATGTCTGGAATAGTTCAGAAATCCTGGCAGCAGCCCAGCAGCGCGTCACACGCGTGCGGCCTGCGGTGAGTACCGCTCTATTGTAAGCGCTCGCGCTGCCACAGGGGCAGGGGTCGGAGGCAGGACAGAGACTCCGGAGATGCTGTGGCTCTTTTCTCCCAACAACCAGGGCAACTCTGTGCAAACAGCGGCCGAAGAAACAAAGGCAAATGGCCCCGGAGGACAAAGGGGCTGACTCTTCTCTGGAAGATTCAGCCAGCGCGTGGTTCTCTTTCTGGGGCTCAAGGCCCCCACACTAGTTTTCCAGCTCCACACCAAAGGACCAGATTCAGACCCGCTGTTTCTTCCGGCCAAGATGATTTTATTCCATTTTGCATGTTTTGGTAACTACGTCCTATCCATCTCCTCAAATATATCCCACAGTCAGATGCCTCTTTAGCAGCCAGAGATGACTAGCTCTGCCTGCACCGCATTATCACAGGAAAAGTAATATTACCATGAAAGAGTATGAAGAAGTATGAAAAGTAATATCACCATGAAAGAGTATAAAGATCTGTGACCTAGGGGAGGCCAACCTGTCAAACTGCAGGTTCAGTACATGAGATTCCATCAGTCATGTTAGCGTTCACTTCCATCAGGAGGCACCCTTCCCTGAACGCTACAGTTGACTTTTTCCATTTAACTGTCCACGCTCTGAGCTGGACGTGGGGCAGCTGAATAGATGTTTCAGGAAGGTCAAGACCTCAAGACCCGAGCGACCAGCACCACAAAGCCTCCCTCGGAGCCAGCCGTATCGCCAGCACCAGAGGCAGCAGGGCCGCCTGATGGAGGGCTTGGGCATGACTCTCGCTGCTTGGTCCCTCCATGCCCTCTTCAGGTCCTTTGAGCCAGGTCTACGGCAGGACAGTAATCTTCTTCTCCAGCTTCTGTTGTGGGAACAGGAAGTTTCTCATGATCTCATCCAGCTCCTCCAGGGCTAGCTGAGCATGGAGCTTGGCCACGTCGTCGGGCTCCAGCTGCACCACGTGCTTCAGCAGGTGGTAGAGATCCTTGAGGACGTCTTTCAGCACCTGTACGAGGAGGACAGGGTCATGACCATCTATCTGCACACCCAGGAAAGCCGGCAGTCCCCTTAAGAAGGTGATGCATGGCTCTCTCGGATGTCCTGAAAGGTTCTGTGTTTCTCACTCACCCCTGACGCCTTACTACATGGACTTTAGGGCGCTGCGCCTTTACTCCGGGGCCCAGTATAGGCCCCGCACCCCTCCCTTCAGCCCCAAGCATGGCAGAGGCCTCAGCACCACACACACGCAAGCCTGCCCAATGCAGTCACTTCCAGAGCAGCTGAGTATGATGAGCACTGTTCTCTCGAGCTCCCACAAAGCTTCCTGTGACACCCACAGAACAGGCACCTACCTTATAAAATCCAGGAGGCTTTTTCCAGCAGTCGTGCCTTTAAAACCCCTAAATTTATAATTTAGCCCCATTTCCATGGCTCTCTCATTCACCATATATATATATATATATATATATTTCTTTATTGCAACTTCACACTGGGACACACGAGGACTCCAAGGACAGACCTACACCCATTTTTCATGACCAACATTCTGATGTCAGTGTCTGACATGGAACTGGGAGGTACTCAGAGCACCTACTTCCAGGAGCTCCTACTTCACTCTAAAATCCCTCTGGCTTCACGACTAGAACTGTCAGCAAGAAATAGGTGCTACAGTTTATACCCAGATGTCTCCCCCAGACCCGCATGCAATCACAGGCAGAGCTTCTTTGGGAGGTGACTGGACCATGGGGCACGATCCACGGATGCGTTTAGAGCTAAGTGTGCGATCAGGAGGAGGGGCCTGGCTGGAAGAGGCGGTCACCGGGGGCGCACGGCTCTCTGCTACCCGGCTGCCATGGGGTGAGCAGCTTTGCCGGCACTGTGCCCCCGCCATGCTGCTTCTTCGGAGCCAGCTGACCATGGGCTGACACATGAGCCCAGTAACCTCTCCTTTCAGGTGTGGGTGTTGGGTATTGTGTCTCAGAAATGAGGAAAGTGACTAAGACAAAACATTCCGAAGAGGGAAACAGACTTAGGAATCATCTGGTCAAACTAGGGACAGAAGATAAGTGGGCTACGTGGGTGATGCGACTTGCTTTCAGCTGATTGAGAAGTTACTTTTAGTCTACAGCTTCTTTGTCTTTTTTTTTTTTTTTGAGACAGGGTCTCCTTATGCAGCGCAGGCTGGCCTTGGGCTCACTTTGTAGCCCAGGCTGGTCTCGAACTTGCAACAGTCCTCCTGCCTCAGCCTCCCGAATGCTAATCTAGAGCTTCTTGCTTCAATAATCACAAGGTTATTAGCCCCACCTTACAAACAAGATTGAGGATTAGCAGGTTAAGGTACTTAGTTAAAAACTGGTGAGGGCAAGCCGGGCGTGGTGGCGCACGCCTGTAATCCCAGCACTTGGGAGGCTGAGGCAAGAGGACTGTTCCAAGTTCGAGGCCAGCCTGGGCTACAAAGTGAGCCCAAGGCCAGCCTGAACTGCATAGCGAGATCCTGTCTCAAAAAGACAAAAAACAAAGAAACAAACAAAAAACTGGTGAGGGCTAGGGACGTATAGCACTTGGCTAGCACACTTGAGGTCCTGGATTTGGTCCTCAGGACCATAAATAACTGCAGCAGCAGCAGCAGCAGCAAGAACAAAAACAATGCAAAACTAGTGGAGTCAGGTTTCTTTTTTGGTTTTGTTTTGGCTTTTTTTTTTGGTGCCAGGAATTGAACTCAGGGCTGCCGGGTAAACATTGTACTGCTAAGCTATATCCCTGGCCCGCGAGTCAGGTTTCTAATATCTACATCTTACGTTCTTATTTTCTGTTTTTACTGAAAAGATAACATGGTACAAAAGAGCATACATTAAAAAGTTAGGTTCTCTTCTACTGACTCCTGCTCCTCTTCTCAGCGGTTATCCCATCACAACCACGCCCTTTGCCTGTGCTAGAGATAAATCCATGGCCTTGTGCATGCTAAGCATATGCTCTGCTACTGAAATGTACTCTCTGACCCCTTTTGTATCTGTTTGTTTGTTTTGCTTTTTTGAGACTGGGTATCACTATTTAGTTCAGGCTGGGCTTGACCTGGTGACGATCCTCCTGCCTCAGCCTCTTGAGTGCTGAGATTATAGGCATATGTCACCAGTCTTGTATCTGTAAAGTACAGTATTTAATGGGTGCATTAAGCTATTAAAAATAAATACAGGACAGGGTTTCACTATGCAGTCTAGGGTGCCCTTGAACTCACTATATAGCCCAGGATGGCCTCAAACTTGCAGTGATCCTTCTGCCTCAGCTTCCTAAATGCCGGGATTACTGGTGTGCACTACCACACCTGGCCCTCTAGGCAAAGATTTCTGTTAAGGCCATTTAACAGGTAGGAGATCTAGAACCTGTCCTTAAAAGACTTATAGTCAAACAGGAGAGAAAAGATATGCACATAAATAAAGGCAACACAGGACAGAATACAGCAAGGACACTAAACAAGAGGGGAGTGACGAGCGGTCAGAGGAAAGGGAGGTTACATTTTAGGAACCTCAGGCAACTGGAGAGGCAAACTGGGAAGGACGAGGAAGAGTAACTTTGGTGAAGGACGGCATGTGGTCTGGCCTGCAGTCCCCAAGCATCACAAGCACAAGAAGCACGCAGACCTGCAAGTACTCGACTTGCTATGGGAGTAGAGAAAGAGCCTTCCCATCTTTTGATCATCTTGATCAGTGTGGGTACTGGGGAGGAGGAAAGCCGGGGGGAAAAGACTCCTCTGAACGAGCCCCCAGGCCCTGCCTGTCCCACAGCTGGCCTCCCTCTGATCACCTCTGCCTTCTTTCTTTCCTTTGCTGAGCAAACTTCCTTTTGTGCAGGGTAGGCTCCTCACTTTGTGAAACTATTTTGCTTTCTTTTCATCCTTCAACTTCAGTCTACCTAAAGTACCACTGTTTAGGGATTCCTTCCCTAGCCCTCATCTAGCTCAGCCTTCCTACATTTCCTGTAGCTGTTCGTATCTCAGCGAATTAAGCTGGACCATGGGCAACCTGATTCTTGAGAAATGCCTAGGGGCTGCAGAGAGCGCCCTGCTGAGCGTCTGGTGCGCCGTGAAGGTGCGACTTTGGGTACCGCAGCTAGTCCCTGGTCCCCACCTCTCTGCCGCCTTCCCCTGCTCGGCTTCCTGGCCACTGCCACGGAGAGAGCAGCTCTGCTCCACCTGCCCTTCTGCCCAAGGGCACGGACTGCAGCCTCGCTCCCTTTAAGCTGTGTGTGCTGGGTGTCATGTCCCAGCAGCAGGGAAGCTGACCGATACCAGATCCTCTCACGGTTGTAACTTGAACATGTATGGTATAAAATAAATGCATAGGCCCTGGGGGCTGAATATTGTGTATTTAGGAGTGTCTTCCTCAGTAGGGAGATCTTTTTCAAATGAGAAAGGGAGGGAAGGGGGAGAGAGGGGAGAGGAAGGGAATGAAAAAAAAATAATTTAAAGGAGAAAAAAATGGAAATAGAACTTCTGCAAATGGGAAGGAAAATAAGAGAAGGGAGGGGCGGGAGGGGTAGTGGAAGAAAAAGGAATTAAACTGCGATATGCAGCGTACCAACTCCCCACGATGAAAGTGTCTTTGTTTTTCTGAGGCAGGGTCTCACTAGGTAGCGCAGGTTGGCTGCGAACTCGCTTATGTAGTCCAGGCTGGCCTCGAACTCACAGTGATCCTTCGGCCTCAGCGGCCCAAGTGCAGGAATTACAGGTGGGTGCCACTACGCCTGGCCTCCCCGTGATAAATGTAATCGTTCTGTACCATGAATGTGTACTAAACTCTTCCTCACAGATCACAGTACTACGGACACTGAGGCCGCATCGTTTCTTGTTCACGCAGGTGTAGCCCCAGTGCCTCATAAAGTACCTGGCTCGTGGCAGACACCATAAAACATTCATGAATGAATGAAAGTAGTCTCCTGGCCAGTCTCTTAGTTGGTGAAAACCCCAAATTCTAAGAAAGTCTATTGACGCAATATCAGAGAACCGGCCTAGCTTCACGGCTCTGTAACCTGTGCAGTCACGGCAGGCCCCAAGCAGCAAGGGCCCGTGCTGTTTGGCTTAGTGATCTGTGAGCAAGTAGTGTAATTTATGTGTCTACCATTTTGCCAGAGCATTTGCTTATCGCGGTCACCATGCCCTTCGAGCACAGGATTCTGGTGGACTCACCATGGGTGGAGTTAGAAGCAAGCATGAGGCCAGTCTATCGGCTACATTCTTCACTGAGCAGATGGGAGCACGGATAGCCGCGAGAGAAATTGCTTCTAACACAAAAAGAAAGCAGTGGCTGCCTCCCTTTTCCTCTCCCTCTTGCTGTGTAACTCAGGATCTTGCTATGTAATTCAGGCTGGTCTTGAACTCACTATGTAGCCCAAGCTGGCTTCGTACTTGCAGAGATCCTTCTGCCTCAGCCTCCGAGTGCTAGGATTACAGGTGTGCACCACTAAGCCTAGTTTAGCAATGGTTTCCTAATAAACATGGATGAGTAAGGAACTCTATTCATATCCTTTGTTACTCTATTATTTCCCTTTTTTAGCCAAACATTTTCCTGAAAACAATGAGAAAGATTAAGAATTAAAATCATAGGCATGGTGGCCCATGTCGGTAATACAAGCATTTGAGAGACTGAGACAGGAGGATCTCACCCAGTACAGGCCAGCCTGAGCTACACAGTGAGTTCAAGGCCTGCCTGAACTACATAGCAAGACCTTGTCTCAAAAAAAAAAAAAGAAAAAGTAAAATTAAAGTTGGGCACAGTGGTGCAAACCTATAATCCCAGCTACACAGGAGGCTGAGGCAGGAAGACTGGAAGCAACTAAGCAAGACTCTGTTACAACATAAAAAGGGCTAGGGATATAGCTCAGTGAAGGCCTAGGTTTTATCCATAGTACTGGGGGGAAAAAAGTGAAAACAAAAAACAGCTCAGTTTGTTTTGTTAAGAGTTTCTACTAAGGGAACACGAATGTACAAGCTACAGAATATAAATTGTGGAT